GAAATAAACCTGCTGTCCTTTCTTGACAGCGTCATAGGACTGGTTAAAGTGAAGGCTGTGTTTACATAGCATGTTTTGACTTCCTTAATAGCCATGTGATTTGTGTATAAATAAATGTACATTAAGTGGAATTAACAGAGAGAGCATGGCTTAGATTCTTTACAAAATCACTCAGTGGCGCATTTCAGAGAGCATCTGCTAAGGAGAAGGTACCAGTGCGTGGAGCCATTCCCAACCAGGCTTCAGTTTTTGATTCCTGCAGCTCAACACTTCTATCACTGTTTCAAAATAGTGACAAAGAACTGCATTTGTAAGGACTGAAGGTGTCACGAATGGTGGGGGAATAGCTACCTGTAAAGTCACTGCTGCAGAATGCAGCCATTTCAGCAGCCATGCAATGTAACGAGTCTGCAAGCAAGGATTGCAGGTTACACAGTATGAGATTACCCTGGAAAATGTAATTCAGCAAAAGACATGGGTTTCTCCAAGATAATTGTGTTAACATTAGCTGATTGCGTGGGATGTGGCAGAGATGTTTTGTTTGTATATGTAAAGGATAAGCTTTAAGAGTTCTGTGAACTTGCATATCTAGTTGCAGCTTTGGAAGATTACTAAAGCATTACTTTGTGCAAGTAAGGAATTCACACCACAGGATGAATCTGAAGTTACCGAGCGGGAATTCGAACAAGGGCCTCAAAGTGATTCACAACATGAAAAAAGGCTTGGGAGGCTTCAGGAGTCCATCTTGTTTCAGCACATGAAGGCAGGAGCCTGGTGCACAGTGTTTAATTCATGGAATCGGAGTGGTTTGGGTTGGAAGGGACCTTAAAGATCACCCAGCCCACCCCCTGCCATGGGCAGGGTCATCTATAACTCGATCAGGTTTGAGTTCCATTGCCTGGGTTTGTGGGGGGTCTGTTCTGGGGGTCCTGCTCAGGGCAGGTTTCAGTGTATATACAGAAGTTCCCCTGGATAACTGTGATCATGAATTTCAGCGAAATCCCATTTCAAAGCATTTCTGCACCAGTACATGCTATGCCCAGAGAATGAGATTGCCTGGGAGACATGGGAAAGAATTTAGAGCTCAAGTTCCCAAAAGGAGTGACTTAGGATCTGGAGTATCTTGGAAGCTTCTCCAGCGTGAGAGTTTTGAAACACTGAAGGGATGAAGTTGGCAATCAGAACATGCAGTGGCATTACAGGTTTGTTCCTGCTGGTGAAGATTTATGGCCCTGGGTTCTGTCTAGCAGTCTGCATCTCCTGGTTGTTGGACCAGGTGTTCTCCTGGTAGAAGGACATAACAGAGCTCTGCAGAAGAACCTTATTTCAGGCTTCAGCGCTGACATTCCTCTAAGAAACTCTTCTTATTCCTGGGAATTTGCACTACTGTGGTGATTTATTGTCAGGTCAGCCCTTCTCCTTCTCACCTACTTGCACTCACCTACTGCAAGGTACAGACATACCACGTAAGGAAGGTACAGATACCACGTAGTGCATAAGTGTGGTCCTTTCAGTCTTTCTTCAGAAACTCAGCCCTTCTAATTTAAATTAATGATGTGCATTTCTCCAAACTGCTTCTCACTGGTTCCTATCATTTGGGTAATGAAGAGTCCAGAATCGTAGAATCATTAAGGTTGGAAGAGAACCCCAAGATCATCTGGTCCAACCACCCCCTCCCACCAATGTCACCCACCAAACCATGTCCCCAAGCACCACGTCCAACCTCTCCTTGAACACCCCCAGGGACGGTGACTCCACCACCTCCCTGGGCAACCCATCCCAACGCCTGACTGCTCTTGCTGAGCAGAAATGTCTCCTCATTGCCAACCTGAACCTCCCCTGGTGCAACTCGAGGCCATTCCCTCTGGTCCTATCACAGTTACCTGTGAGAAGAGGCCGACCCCCAGCTCCCCACACCTTCCTTTCAGGCAGTTGTAGAGAGCAATAAGGTCTGCGCTGAGCCTCCTCTTCTCCAGACCAAATACCCCAGTTCCCTCAGCTGCTCCTCACAGGACTTGTGTCCCAGGCCCTTCACCAGCGTCGTAGCCCAGAGCCTGAACACAGGCTCCAGGTGGGGTCTCAGGAGGGCAGAGCAGAGGGGACAATCCCCTCCCTGCCCTGCTGCCCTGCTGGTGGTGCAGCCCAGGGTACAGTTGGCTTTCTCCTGTGACAGATTGCTGAAGTTTTGTATCCTTGTCAACCGCTGAAAGGGATCAGACTGAAAGTATGAAATGCCCTGCTGGACCGGATTAATGGTCCATTAGCTCGGCTCCCTGGCTGTGACAGGAGCATTAAAAGATGCTCTTAAGGAGAGCACGTGTGCCTGGCCATTTGGGGTTGTCCATTCCCGCGTGCCTTCCAGCATCCAACATCATTGTTCTGGGGACATTAGCAGGAACGATCCTGCTCAGTCCTGTTAGTATCTGTGCATGGATCTGCTCTCCAGGTCTTCATCTAATCTCTTTCTGAATCTGACAGCACTGCCTACCTCCATGGCCTCCCATTCCATGAATCTGGAAGACCGGTGCCTGCTGTGTACAGAAGGCTTGCTTTGTCTGTTGACAGACTCGCTTTGTCTGGATCTGGTCTGCCACTGGTTTCATTGTGAGCCCTCTCCTTCTAATGCTGCACCATTTGGTGAAGAGCAGATCTGCATTTACTGTACCCACTGCCTTGGGTGGCTTTGTAAGCCTTGGCCATGTGTCTCTCTGAGCCTTCTCCTCTCCAAGCTGGAGAGTCCCATCTCATCGTAGGGCAGTTGCTCCATCCCTATTTTAGCTGTCCTTCCCGGACCTTCTCTAGCTCCACCAGTTCCCCCTTGAAATGCTGATCCAGACCCACACACAGCTCTGAAGGCTTGCATGTGCAGGATCAGCATAGCCCCAAATGGCATTGCCTGCCTTCTTTCCATCTCTTTTCTGATGTATTTTGTTGGTTAGCGGTGTGGTTTTTTTGGCTGCTGTTGTGCATCATGCCCATGATTTTGAGAGCTGTCAGCATCAACTCCAACCTTTCTGGAGCTGTACCCACCAGCTCCATGTTCAGCATTGTGTAGCATGGTTCTGATGGATCTTCCCTAAAAGCAGTACTTTGCATTTATCTTCATGGTGGCCCATTTGTGCACATTCATTCAGCCTGGGAGTCCTCCTGGAGTTCATCAGCACTGTTGCATCATTTGGCTACTCAAAACATAGTTGCATCAGTTTATAATGGCCACAGACTTTGACATAGCATCCTCAGATTTCTGTGCGTGGATGTTTTGTAGCCACTTTCTGCATGGTTTGATTCTTGATTTGGCTTTCTTCCAGGCCAAAAGTATATCTCCAAGAGCTGGGCATCCTCATCAGGCAGCTGTGTCCAAGAAACGGGAAGTTTTTCTCGACTGATGGATCAAAACTAGTCATGTTTCTACCACTGTGTGTCTGATCTTTCCCGTTCTGACACACCTCCCCGTTTGATGGCCAGCGAGTGCTTGGAGTGTTTAATTCAAGGGGAGGACTCCCAGCTGCCAGTCCTGAAAATTAATATCTGCACTTCACAGACTGGGACCAAAAACTGATTTTTGTGTGTGTCTCAGGCGATTCCCGTGTGTCACTCGAACGTCGTCAGACAGCCCAGGGCTGTCTGCATGACAGGGATCCTCCGTGCAGTGGGTCTGTTCAGAGAGATGAAACAGTTTGCTTTGTTCATTTCGCTGCCTCCTCTTTTTGTCTAAGTACTTTTCTTCCTCCTGTGGGAGATGGTATTGTGCTCCTGAGAATGCATTTCTGACGTTTCAGTCTTGCTGGAAGGCGGGGGGATGTCTTGGCTAAGATATTCTCTGGGTTCATCAGATCAGCACCAGCAGCAAACCGCAGCCTCTCCTCCCTGCCAGGCGCCTCACGCCGGAGGTCTCTGGCTGGTGTGGCTCCATCCAGCAGCCTGCAGGTAGGCTGGAAGGTGCTGCCTGCTGCCAGATCTCCCTTCCCACTGCTGAGCGGTGTCCTGAACCACGGCTTACCCACTGCTAATGAGACCTCAGCTCCTTATAGGTTATAAAACCAGCCTTGGTGTCCAGGCTCTGTGGTCTCAGAACATGCAGCTTGCCGTGCCGTACTGAGTCGATGCAGTTTTGAATTTATGGTGCATGCAGTTGTCTGTCCAGTCCCCTCTGTGATTGGCTTTGCTGTATGGTGGCATGGTGTTCATCCTTGACCTCCGGTGTTATTTTAGCCTCCTGACTGCTTTTCTTACCAGCTTTCTGCAGGATGTCATTTCCTGCGGGTCAGGTTTAGCTACAGCTTCCTGTTTTTTGCAGACCTGTCTGGTTTTATTCCATCTTTCACATAAAAGGCCTGGCAACATGTGACTAATACTTTGCGGTTGTCACTGAAAGACCTTTAATGTGCTGTTCCCTCTCTCCTAATCAGCGGCAGAGATGTTATTTTTTCCCATAGGCCAAATTATTCACATTCACACCCCAGTGATCGAGCTTTCCTTGGCAGATTTTGTAACTTAACCTGGCTCTGGCATATTTCTGGCCAGCCTGGTTGTGGCTGCGGGCTGACGTCCTTCTGGCCAAGGATGTTTCAGAGTCACAGCGTCAGGTCAGCTTCCCTGGACAAGTGTAGCGCTGAGCCTTAGCGCTTAGTGCCCAGCATCATGTTTTTCTTGTCTTTCATGGCTGGGTCCTTAGGGTGCTTCGTAAGCTCAGTGTTGCTCTCTCTGATGCTGCTTTTTTGCTCATCAGTCAAGGATTGCCCAGCAGTGGAATGAAATTGCGCTGTACAACGCAAATTGGTGTCTTACGGCTTGCTTAGGAGTTGTCCATCTGTGGGCACTTCTGAAACACATTGGGCAAAAAGCTGTCTGGCCATGTTGGTAGCTTTTTTCATCCCTGGTCTCAGGAAGGTATAAACAATTGAAAATCCACATTTTCCATCTGTCATTTGAACTGTCAGCAAAAACCTCAGCATCCTGCCAGAATACCGACAGAATATGGATGCTTGGGTCCCGACCAGATGGGGCTTCTGCCAGGTGGAGCCACAGGAGTTAATGCTCTCCTGGAGACCACGTCCTCTGGCTTCTGCCGTAAGTGCTGCAACAAGATGGAGAAGAGGGTGGCAATATCACCTTTACAGCCCACAAGGTCAGAGCTTCCCACTCCTGCTTCTTTCTATTGGAGTAACCTAAAAAATCTGAACTGCTGCCCATTTGGGTGGACGTGTTTGGATGATTAAAAATGAAACAGAAAGCACAGGCGTGTTCTATCAGTATTTCTGTTCTTTATTTGGAAAGGAGCAGGGTGATGTGCCTGTATCACATGCAGATGATGAAATACTTTCCAAACCATTAGTAAGTGAAGCTGTCAGCATCTTCCAGGTGGTAATTTTTCAGTTTTTGCATTTTTTAATTTTATGATACTGGGGAAATGCCAGGAGACTGGCAGAGCACTGGTGCTTAGAAGGGGCAAGGGAGATGATCCATCGGATTACAGAATTGTGAGCCTGGTACCAGTTTCTGGCAAAAATGGACACGCTGATACTGTAGGCAGTTGATAAAGAATTAAAGAGTAGAATATAATTAACACCAGAAAATCACATAAAACAAATTTAATTTCATTCTCTGAGATGTCAGATTTGTTTGATAAAGATAACTGCTCAGATGTAATAGATTTTTATGGGGGCCTTTGTTTACTACTGTATAACATTCCCATTACAAAGTCCATGGTGTACAAAATCAGTGGAGCACATGTTAAGTGGTTCACAAATTTGCTAAATGACAGGTCTTGACAAGTAATTGTCAGTGAGAAATCATCGCTGGCTCGTGCTTCTAGTGGTCTCTCCAGGATTTAGTTCAAGACCTGATGCTACTCAGTGCTTTCATAAACATTTTAGAAATGAACCTGGAGTCGCTGCTAATTAAATGTACGGTGACCCACGGGCTGAAGTGTTTGGACAGGCGGCAGCAGGGCTGTCTGCAGGGGGAGGAACCGGCATGGATCAGCCCCACGTGGCTCTGCCTCCTGGGCAGAGCTGCGGGCAGGGGCAGTGGCCAGGGGCTGGTGGCTCTGAAGGTGCAGACAGCAGGGCAAATGAGGGCCTGAGATGAAAGAAGCAGGGCAAAAAGTGGGCTGGAGCTGGGGGATGCTGTGCAGCACCAGAGTCTGCTGTTTAGATGTGTTTTGAAAATCCAAATTGCTTGCAAGGGATAATTCCTGAAGTGGTTCAGGATTGGGAGAAAACACAGGATAACCGTGCTGCAGAATTCAATCCGTTCAATACAGCTGATCCAAAAAGAAGGTTTAGAGGTGATTTAACTCGAGTAGGCTGGTAATTTCATCAAAATCCTATTATTTGAGGAAAACCTGTATTTTTATGAAAGTTGGATAAGAGAAATAACTGAAATAAAATGAGCATTTCAAAAGCTTTGCATCTTAGAAAATCTTGATGTTCTATTTCAGAACTGCCTTCAATGCATTTTCTTTTTTGTATTTTTAATGGTGTTTCACAGAAGACCGCATTACGGCTCATGAATTACAAGTGCTATAATAACCTACATAGTTCTAATTATGTAAACAGCAACATTTACCCAAATTAGTATTAATAAAAACACCTTAGACTTTAAGATGAAACATCTCCAGCTGGAGTTGGAACAAATGCAAGGGAAATACTCTTGAAATGTCAAAGTTTCCTCCATCCAGGACAGTTCTGCATTTCAGTTGTACTTCTGTTCACAGAGGGTGAGGTCCAGAGGGTGAGGCTGGTAGTGAGGAAGGTGTCATGAGAACCAGCGGCTGAAGTTTGATTTCATGCTAGTTTAATGTAGGAACTGGGGGGTAAGCAGTGGCAGTTGGAAGATGCAGGGAATGGATTCGGGAACATTAAATTCTTCATCTCCTGGTGTCTTTGAGTAGAGACCTGAAGCCTGTGGCAAGCAACAGCCTGGATATAAAGCTTCTGATCTTGAAATTATGGGTAACCTAAACGGCCATTACCTATCTTTTGAGTGGTTCACTTCTGGAAACATAAATATTAGTGTAAATATTAACACAAGTGCTTCTGTTTTTGCCGTAGCCCTGCCCGTAGAAAATCACTTGTGTCTTATTTGCCATCATTCATTATCTTGTATCCAGAGTAATAGCAGTCCTAGAAAATACAGCACATTTCAAAAGTGAATGCAGAAGTGTGCAAACCTGGCTTTTTTTTTAACAAAGGGTTGGGTAACCCTGGCCACTAAAGCTGAGACCAGAAGGCAGAGCTTCTGCTGCTTGTGCTGGCCTGGCGCATCTCTGGAGCCGTCTCTGTAGTGCACCGTTTCTCTTTTTTTTTTTAGGTGAATGGTGTGAACGTGGTGAAGGTGGGGCACAAGCAGGTGGTCTCGCTCATCCGGCAAGGGGGGAATCACCTGGTGATGAAAGTTGTTTCCGTCAGCCGCAAGCCAGAGTCAGAAGAAGTTGTTCGGAAGAAGGGTAAGTGCGGAGCTTGGCGGTGCCGCGAGCAGGGGTCTGGCATTGCCGGGGCATGAGTGGGCTCACAGACGCCGTGGCTGTGCCGGGAGGAGCTGTGGCGTGGAGCAGCCGTGCAGGAGGATGCTGCTGATGTGCTCCTGGGGCAGGGCAGCCCTCGGGAGAGGGGCAGCCAGCAGCAGGGCAGGGGCACATCTGGAGCACGCAGCCAGCTGTGCCTGGCAGGGCACATTGTGGCACAGAGCTGCGGAGGGCAGGGGCGTGCTGGGAGCAGCCGGCACGGGGCAGGCTCTCCCTGCCCGGCCCTGTTCTCACCTTCATGGGGCTGTGTGTGGGGAGGTACCTGTGGGGCCGTGGTGGTTTTGGGGAGCAGGGACAGCAGAGGGGCGCTCCCAGCCCAGCACACCGGGCGTGGGGGAGGGAGGCAGCTCTGCACACTGACACCAAGCGCCGTAATTACATTGTCCCTGCACAAAAGCACGAGCTGTGGGAAAGGCTGAGGCTTGGGAACCAGTGCCGGGACCACCACCGGTGCCTCTCGCTGCTTCTCATGCTCCCAGCCCCGTAGCTGGAGAGCAGCCACCGGTCGCTGCCCCGAGCCCAGCCCTCGGAGCTGCCCCAGCACGGGGCCCAGGGGCTGGGGCCGAGCCCCACTGCTGCCATGGAGCAGGGCCCGGCTGTGGTGCTGTGGGATGGAACCCCCCCGTCCCTCCCGGCTGGGGACATTTTTTCCTGCGGGTGATGGAGGCCTGTGTGGGACTGGCGTTTTCTGTCTGAATCCGCCCCTGTTGGGGTCTCTGATGCAGGCAGCGCCAGCACCAGCCTGAAGCTCTGGTTGCCATGGCAATGCTTGAGCGTTGAAGCCAGCATTGTCACAGCGCGAGCGCGAGGAGGAGGCACCGAAGTGAAGAGGAAGAGCCTTCAACTCGTCCCTGTGCCGGTGGGCTCGTGGCATGGAGCGCCTCCGGGGCGCACCCGCGGGCCGGCCTGGCTAGGGACCCCCGGGCAGCCCCGCGCCCCAGCACAGCGCCCGCCGGCCATGTGCCGCTGCCCGGCACGGAGCCGGCCGCCTCCAGAGCTTCGCTAGGGCAGCGGGAGCCTCACCCGTCCTGGATACGGCCCCAGCCGGCAGAGACGAGGGTGGGTGGGCTGCGTTTCGCTGGGGGACGCGCCGCGCCGAGGCGGGGATGAGAGACTGAGAATCAGGCCTCCTGGACTTGCTTCTCCCTCCTACCCCTCCACCCATGGCGTGTGCGGAGGGGAAGCAGCCATCAAAGCTGTGCGCTGAGTCCCGCAGGCAGGCAGCCAGCTGCCTGAGACAGATTTAATTCGCGAGAGGCTTTCATAGCCGTAGCATCTCCGGTAGCGGCAGGGGGGCAGGAGCAGCCCGGGGACATGACTTGGACTCTCTTCCGCTGAGGGCTGTGGGAGCCTGGGCAGCGTGCACGTGCCTGCGGCAGCCTCCAGCCCCTCCGCGCCGGGGCCTGCCCCAAGCCCTCGGGACCGTGCGACCGAGACGATGAAGAAGTTTGCCTCCACGCGCAGCCTCAATAAGATTCTGCAGCAGTGCGACTCCTCATCCCGCGAGTACGAGGAGATCCAGGCTGTGGAGAAGAAGTGGCACCTGCATCTGGCCACTCCTCGTAAGTTCCTGGACAAGAAATGCAAAATGCCGTCTCTCTTCCTTTCAGCTCCGCCGCCTCCCAAGAGAGCGCCCAGCACCACCCTGACGCTGCGGTCCAAGTCCATGACAGCCGAGCTGGAGGAGCTGGGTAAGCGGCGGCGCGGGGCTCGCGCCTGCATGCGGAGGAGCATGACGAGCATGCGGGGGCTGGGGCGAGAGCAGGCAGCACGCACAGCATCCATTTTCCTGAGGGGTGCATGAACGTGAGCTCGCGGCGACGCGCTCCTCCCGTACCGACATCCCTGCTGTGCTGCGCGGGGTGCGGGGGGCCAAGTGCCCGCAGGACCCCCACAGAGCCAGACCAGCTCCTTGGTGCCACCTCAGCAGGTGGACAGATGGGGACAGGGCGCTGGGAGCCTCTGTGTGTGTGCGGAGAGGCTCACCTCCCCCGTGCCCCGTCCTTCGGGCACCCTGCACCTCACGTGCACCGAGCAGCCTATTGTTTGTATTTTCCTCTACCTCTAGGCAGATAGCACATGCTGCAAGATCAGCTGGCATCCCCCTGGGCTGCCCTCCTCCCTTACACACACACATGCACATGCACACACGCTCACACGATCTGCTGTCACTACAGAGCCTACCCACGTTTCCAGATGCTTTGGCATCCCAGCTTGCAGCCCCATGTTCCTGTGTTCTCTCAGCGCCCCTCCACCCGCCCCCTCCGTCCCCACATCCAGGTACCCTGTGATGAAGCCCCGTGCTCTTCCCTTGTACCGACATCCCTGCCGAGCCCACACCTTTGCAGGGTCCTGGCCTCCCCCGATATCCCAGGGCTGCAGGGCTGTCAGCGTTCATGCCCCCCCAGAGCAGTCTGTTTGCTGCACACAGGCTCATGTGCCCGTCTCACCGCACCCCGTCCCCGTGCGTGGCAGAGGCCGCAGGGCCCTGGGCAGGGGGCTCGGTGGAGGCTTGGTGCTGGCACTGGACAGGCGGGCTGGCTGGCAGAAGGGCTGCGTCGCGGTCATCCCACATCCTGCCTGGTGCTAAGAGGTGCAGGGGCAGTCTCCACCCTCATTTTGGAGAGCTCAGAGCACAGCTGTGGTCCACACGTGTGTGGCACTGCTGAGAGCGGCTGTGCAGGGCAGACGTGGAGCGAGCCGAGCATTCTCCAAGCCCACGGTGAGAGCCCCGGCAGAGCTACCAAGCGAGCCTTCCTCAGCATTGCTGACTGCCCTGGCTCCTGCTCCTGCTCTCTGCTGAGCTCTTTGCCATGCGAGGACGTGGTGGTGTGCACAGCTGTGCTCGCTGGCCATGGCACAGAGGCTGCGCGTGGCAGGCTGCTCTCCTGCTGGGAGGAGACCTGCTGGGAGACAGAAACCTGGGCACAGACCCAACGCCTCCCTTCGTCACTCTGCTCTGCTCCCTGTGCTACACGCATGGCCAGGCTCTACAGCCTGCAGGGTTCTGGAGAAGGGAGACCTTGAGGGTTAGGGTTCACCCTCAAACATAGGCTTGAAGAGAAATCTTAGTATCCAAGGGTTTGCATCAACTGATTGATGGCCATTGTGATTTTGTGCTAAGCTCCCAGCCTTGTTTTTCACCCTAACCTGTTCCTTGCTTTCCAAATTCAAAGGCTCTGTGTTTAGTAGCAGCCATTAGGAAAAGATTTAGAACAGCCCATTTATTCTACTTTTTGTTCTTCCCTTTACACAGATACTGCACAGGCCCTGGGGTTCATATTTTTACTCCCAGGTGCTGGTCCTGAAGACAGTTTCTAGCTGGTGTGATAGGTGTTATCTTGCACAGGCATCCTGTTGCCTCTGGGAGAACGTGTTCCCCAGATGCACGGGCCCATCTGTGGTGACCACCAGCCCGGGTCAAAGCCAGGCTTTACGCAGGCACCTTGGCAGGGGGACAGCCACACAAACCACAGCACTTTGTCTTACACCTGCACACACACCTGCCCGTGGGGTGTGGGACATCACCATGGGACAACCTGCACACGTGTGAGGGCACGGGGCACAACCTGCATGTGTTGTGACGAGCACAGCTGCCAGGTGTGAGGGGAAGGGATGCAGGCTCCTGGAAAGGGAAGTCACAAAAAGCAAAGAAATATCTCTGCCAGAGAACATATTAAAGGTGAGACCTCTGGGTCTCCCTGAGCAGAGTGCATCTAGATGCTGCCTCTCTTCTACCCAGAGAGGGGCTGGGAGTGACAACTGCCTCATGCTCCCACGAGAGGAATCTGTAGGCAATGCCTGGACTTGGCCACGATGCCTTCCAGGAGGCTTTAGCAGGTAGTCCCTATTTCATGTCCTGTGGGTCAGGGAGCATGCTGCAGCCAGTCCCACCATGCCTCTCCAAGGAGCCTGGCATGGGGAAGATGGGGTTGTTTCTCCTCCCTCACTTTGTCTTCTGGTGGTTGATCGTCTCCTGCTTTTACTGCAAAGGGCACGTTTCCATGCAGGTCAGCATCCCCACACCTCAGCGTGTGCAGGTCAGAGCCTGGTCTTTTCTGAGGGGAAGATGGTGTTAGTAAGCAGGACGTTTCCACCTGCAGCTTCATCAGGGGGGATTTATTGGATGGGCCCTGCTCCTTCTTCCTTGAAGCCTGTCCCTGTCCTGCAGCTTGCCATACATGCCATGTGCCCACAGGGATACCTTAAAATTCCTGGTGCTCCACGTTGTGCCAGCCCCCTTAGAAAAGCAGATTTCCAGCAAGCTGCTAACAAAGAAAGCGCTGCACAGTCCTTGCTTTTGTTGGATGCAGTTAAAACATCTGGAGGAAACTGTCCTCGGGAGGCTCGTAGGCTGCGGGCTCTTTGCAGTGAGCAGGGAGGGATTAATGACTTTCACACCAGTTTCTCCATGGCACCAGAGGGCAGCGCCAGGGGTGCATGTGGTGCTGCACCTCTCGCCTGCCCGCAGCCATGCACTGCCTGAGCCGTAACGCCGAGAGCCCCGCTGCAAGCGGCCTCAAACAGACACATGCTGGACCATCAGGGCCGGATCCTGCCAGCATGCTGGGAGGCAAGAGTGTGGGGATGAGACAGAAGGCAGAGAGCGAGGCTGGAGCTGGGGATGGAAGCAGGAACTGTGCATGCCATTCATGTGTTGTGTTTTGTTTCTTGATTCCAAGCCTCCATGCGGAGAAGAAAAGGGGGTGAGTGAAACTGCACATCCTGGGGCTCATCCCTTCCCTGTCAGTGCCCAGCAATTCCCCCAGTCCTTGCCACAGGGACAGTCACGGGAAAGCTTATTCTGAAGGCAGGCAGAGCTCTGGGCACGGACAGCAATTCCTGTTTGTCAGCCAGGCCCCATGAATGTCCAGGTCTGGCTTCCTTGGGGTGTTATGCTTGCTTTGGGTGCACTCCACAGTGGAAATACCCTGTACAGGAATGTCCCCACGTCTGGGGTCCTCCAGAGCAGCCTCCTTCAGCCCCTGGGTCAGGATGCCGCGGTCGCAGCCGTGCTGTGCAGGATCTGCCTCTGCTGCACTCCCTGCAAGCTGTCCTGCTGCTCCCAGCACCCAGGAAGCACCTGGGGACCTGCTCTGCGGGCAGGGGGTGATGGCAGCTCGGGGGGCATCCCCCAGCTAGCTGGAGAGGAGCTAGGTGGGTGGAGGAGGTCTGGGGAGAGGGCCACCCGCTGTGATGGCCACGATCTCCGTGCCCAAGCTGGCTGGGGTGAGGCTGCTTGCAGCATGGGAGCGTGGATGAACGCTGCACTGCGTGGTGTCCGTGGGGACAGTGCACAAGGGATGGCACAAAGAGCCCAGCGAGAAGGCCCAACCCATGGCAGCCCACTGCTCCGCGTGTCCCCAGCACGGGGCTGCGGGCAGCCTGCAGGCCTGACCCCAGCTCTTTGCCTTTCGGCAGCCAAACTCTGTCCTGATAGCCTGAACCTACAGAAAGGTGGGAGATCTACCCTTCTACCCTAACAGAGATAGCAGAGAAGCTGAAGGGGGCTGGCAAGTGGGAGGTCTCCCAGGGACCTCCCCTGACCTCTCTGGGGAGCAGATCTGCCGGCGCTCAGAGGCAGAGGCACTGCACAAGTCCCATGCTTCGGTGAGGCAGGAGGCCACCAGGGCTGTGCTGGCATGGAAGCTGGCTGTCCCCGTTCCTGGAGGGTCCCCATGCCTCAGGGCAGCTACAGCGCTGCCACTTCTCCCACCCCAGCAGCCTGGAGCCACACGAGGATGCACTCTGGTGGTATTAAAAGACAAAAAGCAGAATAAAAGCAGCCACTGAGGTAGATGGAGAGGGCTGCGCATTGCTGTTATTCCTGTCACAGCACTGAGATCCCCCCGGGGCTACCCAGAACAGCTTCCAGAAACCCATGGGCATGTTCCCAGCATGTGGTCCTTTAAAACCAGCCTGTGGCCCTTGAGGCTTTGCTGCTGGAGGTCCACACGGTGTGGCAGCACGGGGAGAGCAGGCTCCCATCGCCCCGCTGGGAGGTGGCGGCTCAGGCCTGGCCACCTGAGCCTCGTGTGGTGACTGCCCCATGAGAGCTGCACGGCTCCGAGGGAGAGGAACTGCCACATCCCCCAGGGACAGGGAAGGGCTGCAGGGCTGCACCAGGGGGGCTGCTGCAAAGGCCTGGAGGTTTTGTGCCGAGGAAATGCAGGAGCTGCCTGAGCGGCTTCCCTTGGAGCTCCTTGGCCTCAGGGCCGTGGGTGCCTGCCACCAAGGCCGTGGGGGTCAGAGGGCATGCGAATTGCTTGGCAAGGACCACTTGCCTCCTGTGTCTGCACAGGGCTCACTCCTCCACCAACTGCACTCATTTCTAGTTTTATAACTGGGGAATGCTGTCATACAGACAGGTGGACAGCTGCTGTGACCACAGGGTGCAGAGGTGCTGAGGCTGGCCTGTGAGTCACACCAGCCCCGGGCAGGGGTCTGTAGGATTAGGGGCCTGATGGTCAGAGCTCTCCAGGTCACTTGGGTCGCTAGGATCAGCAGAGCCCAGAAGGGTGCAGGCCTTTCCCTGACCTCAGGCAGAGCTCTCCAGCCTTACAGCACAAATATCCCCCCGTGGTCACCCCTCTCCCTGTGCAGTTTACTGGAGCTGTGGGTTAGCTGTGCCATGGGGGTAGAGTCATCCAGTCTTCGTGATGCCAAGACAGACCCGTAAGCCTCAGCACAGCACCACACCGATGTGGTGGGCACACTTCAGAGCCAGCTGTCCTCCAAAGGTAGAGCTGGCACAGTGTGACACAGAGCTGACAGACTGAACCCTGCCAGGCCCCAGCAGCCATAGAAGTAGGGGTGGCCCAAACCCGAAGGAACCCCGGCTAACTTTGTTAGCTCGGCTCTGCTGGACCCTGTCAGGCTGCATGTGGAGGAAGCTCAGAAGGGGTCAGTGGTGATGGTGGCCAGCGTCTGCCTGCTGCCCTTTACAATGTCCTTTGTTTCAGGACATCTTAGTACCCCTGGCAGGTAGTCCCAGTGGCATACAGGGCCTGCTGCCATGTCTGAGGGGGTAATTGGTGCCTCCTGGCACAAGTGGTGTGGGAACTGCAGAAGGACGCAGCTCTGCGGGTTTGCAGCCATGGGGCAGATCTGAGGTTAGGCAGGAGCTGGGTCAGGATCTAGGGTCTGGTCCCGTGAGGGTAACCAGGGTCAGACGTAGCCAAGATCTCCAGGCAGGCCCATGGTGATGAGGCAGGGCCCAGCCCAAGTCTGGAAGTCTGTCTGTGGGTCAGGCTCCAGGGCTGGCCATGGCATGGCTGTGGCAGCACTGCAGGCAGATGTTGCAGCACCACTCGGGTGGTCCCAAGCTTAACTGGAGCCCCTGGGCCTAGGAGCATGGGCTGTGCATGGGGCCAGGTTACTGCCATCAGCTGCATTAATTAGTCCACCCAGGGAGGAAACATCCCAGTTTGTCCACATCTAACAATGGAATGGAGCTGGTTGAGCTGGAGCCAGGCTGACTCCCTTGGGGTCCCAAGGAGTGCCACGCTCTGCTTTGGTTTTCCGCCTAGCCTATGTTCCCTGGGACACCTGGGTTTTCCCTTGTTGGAGTAGCACAGCTGCTTGCCCCACCCCACCCCGTAACCCAGTTTGGGGGGTTTGATCTCATTCTGATTATCAAAAACTTCACCATCACTGATTCTGAATATCAAGAGTTTGCTGGGCAAAAATGTGCTCCTTTAATCAAAGGATGCAGGCTTCCACACAGCTCTGCGCAGCTGGGAGCAGACCCCAGAGCCGAGCGTGGGCAAGTCGGACCCCAGGCGCTGGGTGGGCTGCGCAGGGGCGCCCGCTGCAGCCGGGGTGGGAGCGCGGAGCCGCCAGCTGCGGGTCCCCCGTGGAGCAAGGTCGGGGCTTGGTTGTGCAGCGGGAGGGGGGTACTGCTCCAAAGCCACCAAAGTCTTCATCTGCAGGGCTCTGGGGAGGAGGAGGACGAGCAGACGTCCTCAGATTGTTTTCAACAGGCCCACGAACCATGTTCCCTAAGCAGAAGCTCGCGCTCTGCTTAGCTGCGCTGCAGAGGACGGGCTTGTCCTAGGGGAGCTGCCCTGGTGCAATGGTCCTTGCTAACTGGTTTGCTTCTATGTTTGGATTTTCAGAGAAACTGGATGAGATTTTGGCAGCAGCCGAGCCCTCGCTGAGAGCAGACATTGTCGAAGCAGATTCTAGGGCAGCCACTGTGAAGCAGCGACCAACAAGCCGGCGCATCACGCCAGCAGAAATCAGTGTGAGAGAGGAGGGCTTGTGGTGGGCAAGGGAAGGGCACGAGGCTCCAGTCACCTGCTGGATGCCCACAGCAAAGGACCTGCGCTGGGGAGGGGGCTTCCCGAGGGGGAGAGGCTGGGGGGAGACAGAGCTGCAGAGAGCAGGAGCCCAGCTGGGGGTGGAGGAGCTGACCCGGGCGTTTTGTGCACAAATACGGGATTGGCAGCGGGAGGGACATCAGAACAGATCAGGAGCAAGGAGAGCTGCGTTGGAGAGCTTAGGCTGGCTGCAGTTTTCTGGATGTGAAGCTGGAAATTAAGAGGAATCAAAGAAGAGAAAAAGGCAGTCTCTGAGGGGAAACATGGATGGAGTAGGAGTGGGGATGCGAGCTCCAGGCTATCTGGATTGTGAACGCGTGCTGCAGGCGGTGGGAGGCAGCTTCTGGAGCAGGAGATAAAATGGGACGGGCTGGATCTGAGCAGAGACTGGCCTGCCTGAAGCCTTCCCACAGAGGAAGGCTGCTGCTCCGGAGCAGCATCGGCAGGGAGGTGCTGCATGTCCCCGGGTGCTGCGTGCCACCAGGGCCTGGCAGCGGGAGCATGGAGGGGCAGCCCCCAGGGCAGCCGCACCGGGCCCCGGGCACACTGCCTTGGGAAGCGCCGAAGGGGGAGAGCTGGAGGCAGAAGCGAGGCAGGGGGCAGAGCCTGTTCCCGAGGAAGCAGTCCCTCCTCAGGCTGTCCTGGGACCTGCGTGCGGGTGTGGAGCTGCAGGGACAGGGGCTGGTGTGCAGACAGACGTGTGGTTGGGAACTCTGCAGCTGGGAGCATCAGGTGGGCTGAGGTGTAGTATTGTTTCCTTTCAGCTGATTCTCACTGATGTCCAGAATGGAAATTTCTTTTTTTTTTTCTCTCCTACAGTCACTCTTTGAACGCCAGGGTATGGCAGCACATTCGGGGGTCCTTGCGGGAGCTGAGAAGCCCCACGTTTCACTACGCAAAGGAATTCCGCGGACAAAATCTGTAGGTAAGGCAAACTGGGGGGAAATCTGTTCCTAAAGAGGAAAGGTCATTCCCAGGGAGCATTCATGCCTGCATGAGAAGCAGCAGGAAGGACTCAACCCTCTAGTGCCTTGTATCTGAAGATCTTTTAAGAGGGGATGCTTGATGTGATTTGTACTTTGAAGGCTGCATGTGTCTTGAGAACCTGCTCTAACACTGACACTAGCTGTGCTCTGAGCAGAAGGCTGGACTAGAGATCTCCAGAGGTCCCTTTTTGCAGATTCTCTTTATAGAACTGCAAGAGATAAGATGTTTCTCCCATTCTCTGTGCTTGCAAGTGAAGACTGGTGGGTGGTTTTCTGTCTGCCCATGTTGTGGTTGGGCTGGGAGTGCCGTGTGCTGAATATGGGGAGTTGAGCATGGGACCATGAGCTGTAACAGGCTCAGATGATAGAGCAGGGAGTAAATGCATCTTTTCTAAGGATAAACATGACACGGTCTGTAACAAGCCGTCATCTAAATGTCGGGACATTTAGACCCTGTCCCCTGTCCCAAAAGGTTTATGGTGCAACTGAAACCAAAAACATGCTGGAGGATGGACAAGGGGTGGTGGCACAATGGCAGTGAAGTGGTCTCATTTTCTTGATCTTGTGTATCAATGGGTTTCATCTGGGTGATAACACAAACCCGTAGTGTTAGCAAGGTGTGAGGGCTGTGTAGGTTGAAGCTGGGGAGAGTGCGTTACCACTTGGAGCTATGGGGCAAGGGGAAGGTGGTGTGCTAAGTGTTAATTTTAAGTAACCCTTTTGATAGCAGTGGTGATGCCAAAACAGATTGTGTGTTTAACACACACATAAATGAATAGAAAGTAAATTCTGTTTAGATACACAGCTGAGAGCAGCATAACCCCAGCAAGAATGTAAAAATATTTGAAAAAGGCGAGGATTCATATTCAGAATGTACTTTTATATGTACAAGGGCACAGAATTGCTGTACATATGTGCCTCACATTTGTGTTTGTATGAGAGCAGCTGCTACCTGTAGTCCCACGTGAGATTGGTCTGAGAGTAGTAGAAAGCTACAGATAATTAAATGCGTGTATGATACATCTGAAAAACAAACTAAATAGATAATCTTTTTTAAAAAAAGAGTGGGTGTTTAATGGACTGCCCTAGTGTGTACTTATATACCATGTTGATAAAGCTGCTGTCACACCATGGAATATACAGGCGTAAAGCTCCTGTGACTGAAGAGCTGAAATAAAGCCTGAGCTTGAGCAAATGATAAGCTGCAATGTTGGAAGCAAATGCAGGCATTAATTAGTTGCTCGTATGTTGCAAAAATGCTGATGGACATGGTGAAAAGGGAGAAGATCTGACTGCCTTGGTACCTTGGGTCACCACAGCAGTGACCCACGTATTTGCATCTGGCTAGAGCCGAAATAACAAGTGAATCTTCTCATGAAGGTAAAAACTACCAGTAGCACATGTAGGGTAGGAGTCATCTCATCTAGCCTGGCATGTTAACAGTGCAGAAATCTACTGTCTGCTACGTGGCGGGCCAGCATTGTAGTGGCTAGAGGTGTCTAAGCTGCATGGCTGTTTTGCAAACTCTGTCCTAGAAGTTTATTTTATTTGCAAGAATGTATGTGAAAATGCTTTTAAGCAGAACTTGTTCAAGCTTCAATCAAGCCACAACAGCTAGAAATCATTTTAAAGGGGAACTGTTGTGTGAAATGGCATCTCAACTCAATACTAGATCATAAGCTGGAAAAATATTCATTAAATACAAGATACTTGCCTGTAAGGAGCTCCTTTTTACTTGTGAAAGCAGAGTCAATGGTTCAAGAAATCCATCTAAACCTACCCCTGATGCTTGTAGAGCAGGTATCCTGTCAAGGATATCGGTATGCAGAGAGCTGTGGGAAGAATTACAGAATCATGGGATCATGGAATGGTTTGGGTGGGAAAGGACCTTAAAACCCATCTCGCTCCAACCCCTGCCATGGGCACAGCACCTCCCACCAGCCCAGGCTGCCCAAAGCCCCATCCAACCTGGTCGTGGGCACTGCCAGGGATGGGGCACCCACAGCTCCTCGGGGCAGCCTGTGCCAGGGCCTCACCACCCTCACAGTCATGGAATATTCCGAGTTGGAAGGGACCCACAAGGTTCATGGAGTCCAACTCCTGGGTCCACACAGGACCACCCAAAAATCAGACTGTGAGTCTGAGAGTGTTCATTTCTTGAACTCCGGCAGGCTCGGTGCCATCACCGCTGACCTGGGGAGCCTGTTCCCGTGCCTGGCCACCCTCTCAGTGAAGAATTTCTTCCTAAGAAGAATTTGAAGCCTGTAGGGTTTATACAACTGTAAGGCTTGAGGGTTGTGTGTAGGGTTTGTATGCTCACAAGCACAGAGCATAATGTCCCATGTGTGTCTTTTTTGTTCAGCACCTGGAGCCTGGGAGCCTGATCCCTGCATGGGATTCCCAGCTCGTACAGCCCCTTGCAACAAGGGGTTGTAAATGCTAGATTTAATCTGCATCAGGGAAGATTAAAAGCAGACCTGGAGATTGCCTATTCTGAGCTGGAATGGCTGCAGCTGTCACAAGCACAGCATCCAAGCATGACCTAACAATAAACACAGGAAAAAAATCACAGATAGCTTTTAATTATGCTCAGTCCAAGAAAGGTGTCTGTCTGCACAAAATGGAAGCAGTTCCAGTGAGGAGGGGATAGCAACTTCTGGCTTCCAGCTTGTCTGCTACAATGCACACCAAAAGCAGTGCCTCTTAGAAATCAGCTAATTTTCGTGGAATTCCAAATAAGTTAAAATAGAAAACGGCCAAACATTAGAAATTGGGTTGCAATTGACTTGTTTTAGAAGTCCTTCTTGAGCTGTCATTTCACACCCACAATGACAGGCTCATACGATGTACAGTCAGTTGACTTCATCATAAAAATCTCTACTAACAGCAAAGAACTAGATGAAAAATAAGCAGGGGTTGGCTGGTTTGGTTTGCTGGTTTTATTTTGGTGAAGAATTGCTCGGAATTATTTGCATATTGCACATGCTTCACAAGCACAGCTGTTTCAGATTCCCGGGGACTTGTGACAAAAGATCAAAATATTTCATGTTTTCATCTAAATATTTCTTGAGACAAAGGTAATTAACCCTTCACTTGCTACAAGGAAAGCAAAAGAGGAGAAATGTTTCAAGAGAAATGTGAAGAAAGAAATGCATTGCAGCAGGGAGGCTGATCAAAAAGATCTCTGTCAGGCTTCCAAGATAGCTGCCATGCCATCTGCTCCAGCATCAGAAGTTAAAAACACTCGAATGTCTGCAGAACGGTCTCGGTACGCGCCGAGTCTTCCCCCCGAGCCAATGCAAAACGCTGTGGAAGGTGTTTCTGCAAGGAGAGGAGCAGCGCGGGTGCCCTGCCGGGGGGAAGCACCAGGGCTGCCGAGGGTGCGGGCACCAGGGCGCTTGGGGCCGCTGGGGGTGCCGGATCCCCCCGGGCTTAGCACGAGGGTTTGGCAGAGGAGGGCAAGTGGCATGGGCAGCACGCGACCTCTCCCCGTGCAGTTCAGGACCTGGATGAGCTCCCAGTGCTTTCATTCCCTTTCAGGCAGGCTTTTAAGCTCACCCCCGCTGCAATTTGAACCTTGTGCAGCGCCAGTCCCCAGCACCCTGTTTCACTGCTCTCTGGTGTGCCGGTGACTTCCCTCATCTTCTCCTGCCAGCTTTCTGTTGTTGCCTGGAGCTGCTGCAAGCCCAGCGAAGCCAAGGGCTGTTAACACTCGCCCGCTTTCTCCTTCCAAAAATGAGCCCAGGAACAGTGCCTGGCACCTCGGTACTGCGGCACGGGGCAGCTCTGGGGCTGCTCAGCCCTCCCTGCGCAGGGAGGGCAAGGCTGGGCTGCCGGGGTGTGAGCTGGAGAGAGTAACCTCATTAGCTCTCCCAAATTAATGCACAGAGTTACATTCTCACAGGGATTTAGGCTGTTATGGCAACAGGCCCAAAAGCACTATGGAGAGTTATTGTGTTTTCCTTAGAGATTAATAATGCATCGTGCGCGCTGTGAATTGCAGAGGGGTTGCCATGAGGCTCGGCATCGCCAAGCTGCGCTTTAGGCATGCACACGGCAGCGTGATCTGCTCTGAGAGCCATCGTCCCGCGGTGCTCAGGGACAGAGGTGTCTGCCGGTCCCTCCTGGTCACCGGAGGGCTCCCGTCCTGACCCAGGCTCTTCGCTCCTGCGTGTGCCGACCTCTGTAGGTTATGGGTGATCCTGGGGAGGTCTCGCTGCTCCTTGTAGGAAGTGTACGTGCACCCTGCTACAAGGTGCAGTGTGTGCTGAATGAAACTGAGAGATCCTGCAGCTACTGAAGGGACAGACCTGTTTATTCGTTGGGGAAGTTTAGTTTTCCATTTACAAACCTGGAATATGAACCCTGTGAGGTGGCAGTGGGGAGGTCAGAGGCAGCACACAGAGGGTCGTGCCGTCAGTGACAGCTCTTCTCTCAGCCATCAGCCTCACCTCCACCAGCCTTCTGCAGAACCTGCAACAGCTGACAAGGTTTCACGCTCGGCAGCAGAGCACGGGTGTGTGGAGCGGGATCGGGGTCTGGGGGAGGCAGCAGCACGCAGTCCTGGCAGCGAAGCGTGCCTGCAGACAAAGAGCTCAGGCGCACGTGTTCCCCGTGACAGAGGAGATCGAACGGCAAACCGGTAATTGCTAGGTCGGGATCAGGCAGGATGAAAGGATGATCGTTCAGGTGTTACAAATTTAAAGGAGCTTCCCCCTGAGCTGTGTGCTGGAGAGAATCTTAGGCTCGTGATGGGGACACTGCCCTTGCCAGCTGCTGCACTGGTTTGTGCTCTGCTCTCACGTGCCCGTGAGTCTTGTGGGAGGGCTCCCAGTGCTGCAGGAGCCGGTCAGGCTCCTGCTTCTACAGACAGCCCATCTCCTGGGCTGTGGTCTGCCCGGTACCTGATGAAGCATTTACCAGCAGACAAATGTTAAGA